CTCTCTTTGACTCCCTCTCTTTGTTTTTCTCTTTTTTTATTTCCTTTTTCTCGATCTCTGATTATTTTCTCGCTCCTATATACACTCCATCACTCTCATGCTCTCTATTTCCATCTTTCAATTTTCTCACTATTTATTCCCTTTCTCCAAATCTGTAATTCTCTCCTCTCTACTATTCACACTCTCTCTTTTTCTTTCCCTTCCTTTCTCTTTCTCTCACTCTCTATTTCCGCCTTTCAGTTCTCTCACTATTTATTCCCTCTCTCTTTATTTCTAATTTTCTTTTAATCTCTTACTTTCTCTCTCTCTGCGTGTTCTTGATTAATAACGATTAGTTGATCTTTTACGATAAATAAAATAGGCAGAGTTGCTAGACTGTTTAAAATTGAGTGCGAGTCAACATGAAACTATTTTCGTTCGGTTTGATTGTTTTCGAATTTAACTAGTCCTAGTAAGAATTGTCAATTTTCGAGAACAATTTTTTTACATCAGTATGGCCATTGCACTTACTGCCAATGTCAAAAACGTACTTACGAAATACTTTCTGTGATATGCACCTGGATCACCTTGACATTTTATTATATGTTGAAGGGTGGAGCCTTCTTTGAGTCGAGATCTGAGTATTCTATGATAAAAATCTTCGCGTTATTTTCAACCTCTTTGTGATATTTTTTCCTACGTGGTTCTTCCATCTGGTTCCCATTATAATCGTTCTCGCTAATGTTTCTCTATTCTAACTGCTTTTGTTTTATACATACTTTTAATTTTTTTCGACTTGGTTGTACTTTATCTTACTTCAATTCTGCATTGTACGTCACAAATAACTTTGTAAAGGTCTATTTTGAAATTCTCACTGTTGACAAGATAAAAGTAAGTCTTGTTTTCTTTATTCAATACTTTTTTAGTTTAAAAAAATATGTAAGGTTGTATGATGCATAGTGAAGATAGTAAATTTACAATAACCTATGTTTTTCATTGGACAAATGACAATCACGGAAGGCCGAAAACGACTAAAATATGGATAAGATAATGCTTGCCTTTTCTAGAAAGATAAATGAACCTTCATCGGTATGATTCGATGATGATGATGAACGGTTGAATGATTCAGAGGGAAGATAGTAAATTTACAATAACCTATGTTTTTCATTGGATAAATGACAATCATGGAAGGCCGAAAACGACTAAAATATGGATTTAAACATAAACTAGTGATATACAAATGTGAACTCATCTGGTATGTACGCTGTAAGTAAAAGATAATGCTTGGTGGCTTCCTTTTCTAGAAAGACAAATGACCATCAATCCTTTTTTGGGAAATTCGAATAAAAAGGCAAGCCAAGGAGTACGCTTTACTATAAAACTGATTACAAAAATCCGAATGATATATTAGATAATTCAAACACCAGATGATTTTCAATTTTTACTATCTTCTCGTATCCTTGTTGTTATTTTGGGCTGAAGTCTTCGGCGGATTAAGCCGTCAAAAATCCTATTAGAGAGAGTAAAGAATCGAGAGAGAAAGCCTTTCGCCTTTATGGTCCCCCTCCTGGAAGCTTCAAGTCAAAACTATTCACGACTTGGACCTTTTGGGTTCGTGAACCCTCGAAGTCGTTCTCCTCGGAGGGCGATGATCTTGCGAAATGAAAGGTGCACTGGCCCAGCAGGCAATCTCCTCCGGACGAATTTAAACAATGGGACGATAACAATGTTCGTACGATGGGAAGATCGAGATGAAGTGAAACGTTTCGAATTAGTACAGAATTGAAAAGTCTTTCTTGTGCTAGTGGCTCTCGCGAATTAGCAGGTAGTTTTTAATGCTGTTTACATAAATTGAGCACGAGTCAATTTCGGCCACTAGCATCGGCAAACCTTTTGTAATAGACAATTGACATTATATTGTAACCCTCTTTCTTTTACCTAACAACAGCTCTAGAGCACCACAAGCTTCTATGAATTTTGTATTATAGCATTATAAGAGTGGACAAGTAACTCATTCACTTTCCTAGCTAGTAAACCTCGAGACCGTTGGCGCTTGAGGCTTCTTGAAGACTCCTGTTGAGTGGACATATTAGATTTGGAGGTCTGTGTGGATATGGATGGTAAGACTAGATATTAAGTAGGGAGCATAGGCAATGGTTCGAATGATTTTGGACTGGGGGACTTGATCCTTTGGAGATTGGAACGTTGAACTTAACCCAACAGTTCGATACATCCGGACTGGTTGTAGTAGTTATGTATACACGAGGGGTTTGTTTTGTAGTGAGTTTCAATCTGTTGTAAGTAGTCTTGAGTGTTGTTTACATCGTTCAGATTACTATTGTTGGTCTAAAGTCCCAAATAGCGGACGACACTGACTGCTGGGAAAAGAACAGACTATGGCGAAAGGTGAAGGTTATTTAATGGGATTTTAGTTGAGTCTGTTCCATTTCTAGAATTTACAAACCGTCGATGTTTGTGAAGGCTACTACTGGATCTGGCTTTGTTGAAAGGATAACACCGTCTGCACATGCTAGGAGTACTGTATCGGGATTGGCAGGAATGTCGGCACTGTAAACTGCAGAGAGAATGGGTCCAAGGATACCGCCTCGCGAAACATCCGCGTTGGCATAGTGGATGGGAAAGAACTGAAAGTAAAACTTTTTCTAACAAACGATCGCCATAACATTGTGATCCGAACTTGATTAAATAAAACTGTTGTATTATGTGTAAAAAAATCAATATTTCTACTATTAAGAGTAAATAAATGTTAAACGTTTTCTAAAGGAACGTGTTTGTTGTGCAACATAAATAAATTAGAAAGTTTTGAAGAAAATGGAAAAGTAAGTTTAAAAAAACAAGCAGATTCACACACTCACACAGTGTCGCTAATATTCTCAACAATATATTATATGTACGTGAATATTCATTATTCACCACTGTATGATCAATCAACGATTTATTTATAAAAATACACGCAAAAGTTAAGTCTCTAGGACCTTTTTTTACACTTAAGGTATAATTACAAAGGAAATTTTGGTTTACAATCGCATCAGACTAAAAATAAAAATAACAAAATATTTAGAATAATAAAGTCAATTTTTAAAGTGAGAGTAAGTTAAATTTATAAGTTATGTTATTCAGACAGAACATATTATATAATTAATTACTTTCCATAGGCAGCCAATAGAGTTCGACAGACAAAAAAGGTAAAAAATCATATAACGAGGTTCTCAAAAAGACAGAAAGAAAGAAAGAAAGAAAGAGAGGTGAGAGAGAGAGAGAGAGAGAGAGAGAGAGAGAGCGAGAGCGAGTGAGTGAGTGAGTGAGAGAGAGTGAGTGAGAGAGAGAGAGAGAGAGAGAGTGAGTGAGTGAGTGAGTGAGTGAGTGAGTGAGTGAGTGAGTGAGTGAGTGAGTGAGTGAGAGAGAGAGAGAGAGAGAGTGAGAGAGAGAGAGAAAGTGAAGAATCACAAGCGAGAGCAAATAAAGGGAAGGAGAGAGACGGATAAAAAAGAAATTAAAAGATAAAAAGAGATAGTAAGACGTCTAGTAATAGAGATGAGAAGAGGAGAGATTGGTAGAGGTAGATTATAGATATATAGAGAAAGAAAGTGAAAGAATGAGAAAAAAGTCAGAAAAATAGAAAATGAAAGCGATAGAAAGAAAGAGGGCGAGGTAGATAGATAGATAAATAGAGAGACCGTGTGGGAGGATGACTGAAGTACATGAGAACGGTGAAATAAAGAGAGAGAGAAGAGAGAGAGAGAGAGAGAGAGAGAGAGAGAGAGAGCGAGAGAGAGAGAGCGAGAGAGCGAGAGAGCGAGAGAGCGACAGAGCGAGAGAGCGAGAGAGCGAGAGAGCGACAGAGCGAGAGAGCGAGAGAGAGAGAGAGAGAGAGAGAGAGAGAGAGAGAGAGAGAGAGAGAGAGAGAGAGAGAGAGAAAGAGCAGACGGAATAAATAAATGAATCCGGTTTTAATCAGAAGCGCAGAATCTGGTCAAATATTGGCCACTATTATATTCAACAACAGAATAGAGAGAAGAAGGAAGGAAGAGCATAGAGAGAAAGGGCGAATGACAGAGCAAAGAGTGCAAAGAAAATTAGAACCAGAGAATGAGTGAATAAATAAAAACATGCTGTTATTTAGAGTCGCAAAATTTTCTCCAATACTGACCACTCTTACATTCAACGATAAAAGATAGAGAAAGAATGAAACAGACAGCAGAGGGAATAAGCAAATGAACAAATGCCGTTTTATTTAGAGTCGCAGAATTTGGATAAAAATTTCCCTTTAAAAATTTACATTCAACGATGAGAGAGAGAAATTATTTTAATTCAAAAATAGAAAAATTCGTGATTAAATTTACAAAATAAATTGTAACCAAATTTTTCCAACCTTCCACTGGTAGCAAATGGGTTTTAGCAACGCTTAGGATTTTTCGGGGTGTTACACAATTTTCGAGCCTAATTTTAAAAATAAACTGTTTACTCCTTGTAAGCACTTGTCAGGCCGATTAGTGTTTTGTGACAAGAGTACACTTTTAAAGCTGTTCGTTAACAACTTAAGTGCACTTGACGCCGGCATGTAAAGCACCTCCTGTAACATGTATGTAAGTGAATTTGACTAACACTAGAAACTTCGAACAAAAAAAGCCTAAGCCAATATTACGGCGGCCAGTATATAAATATATAAAATTGTTTTTTAATTGAATCCGATCGTGTTTAATTATATGAAAGATTATTGAAATCCTATTATTTTGGAGGTTGGCAATAATGCTATAACGACATAAGCAGTTTTGACAGATCAACAGAAACTTCATTAGTGCTAACACTTCAAACTTAATAATGGAGTGCTTACGATTTTAAGTAAATTGCCAATACCCAAGCTGGAATATTAATAATTCAGCACAAATTGTTAAAATCCACCGTATTCTGATAAAACCACTCTATACTCTTATTTAAAGGGACACTTGGACTTTTATTAATTTAACTATACAAATTAGTTTACTTTCTAGATTACTTACTCGACATAAGGGCAAGGGAAAGTTTGGTGATGACGACGAAGCTGTACGGGCAGAGGACCTGCTCCTTTGAGATCACCATCGCCAATTGGACGACGCTCAGGACGCAGAAAGCCGCCAAGATGACAACGCCAGCTGCAGAGACCAGCCCGGCGAAATACACAGCCGCTGAAACCGCAAAGTTTGTTATATAAAAATCAAGAAAAGTATGTTTTATAATTAATTTAATGAAATCAAAACAGACGTGAATTCAAACATCAACAAAAGTCTGATAATTTCACAGGGTCTTTTGTGTAATGAAACCTGTTCAATTTAATAACAAAAGTAAAACATAGAAAAGCTTTTTTTCCCTGAAAAACTGTAGGATTTTTAATTTGTATGATAGCTGTAACCTGACGATTGTACTGAAATAATTCGTACGAAAATCTGGCCCCAATTTTTTAAAATTTGATACGAGTCCTTTGTTTTATATGAAAAGGCATAAGTAAATTGAGAACAAAAATACCCAAAACATCTGACCATGTTTCAGGGCAAATATGTGAATTAAAAATATAAAAAAATAGAAAGCAAATGAAAGCTTAAGTACTAATTTCTCTTTGAAAAAGAAAGAATCCTCTCAAAAACCACAAGTTGGCTTTCTAAAAAGCTGAAAACCAAAAGAAAATCTTGAACCCCCAATTATTAGCTGTACAGCGTCTAATTATGCCCGAAAATTTTCCAATAATCATGCAAAACCTCGCAAAGATGAAATCAATCAAGACGAAAAACAGTAGGATAACATTAGAAAGAATAATTGTAAAAAATACAAGTTGTAGAGTTTTTTCACAGTTTAAGAGAAATTTGCAAATCATTAACACCTAATAAAGTGAAAATTAACTATTTTTTTTACGAGTGTCGGCAACAGCAGAGGTTATATCAACCCTCAAGGTGCCGGTGTTTTTGAAAAAAAAAGTCCATTTGTAAGTATGTCGGATTCGAATGCAGGGCCGCTGGATTCGAACCCGGGACCTTTACCTTACAATGATGAGCGCCGTGTCAACGCCTAAACCGTTGCGGCCACCGACGCCCCAATTAATGGTATTGTATGAGTAACTACGTACTAAAAAAACAATACCGAAAACTTGATAAATAGTAACGAGTAAATGAGTTTTATTTTATTTTCAAGAAAAAAAAATGGTTCTACCAAGAAAGAAAATGTACTAACAGAGAAACTGCTAATCCATAGTTTGCCAACCATCTCTCAAATGCATATGTCAAAATAAAAAGTTAAACTCTCAATTAATTATACACAATTTTTTTCGAAATGAAAAATTTGTGTCACAGGCGGGATTCGAACCCACGACTTTCGGCTCAATACGCCGCTGCTCTACCACTTGAGCTACCGTGACTTCGATCCCGCCTGTGACACAAATTTTTCATTTCGGAAAAAAATTATGTATAATTAATTGAGTATTTATATAATTAATAGAAGCTAATAAAATTTAGTATTAAAAAGTTAAACTCTCAAGATAAAAGTTAAATTTTAAAAAATTAGCGACGAGTTACTACCGCCAAAATAAAAGAAAATCTTGGTCAAACGTATAAGAATTTGGAATTTCTTCCATAATTCATCAACTAACCTTTATTGATAGTTCCGATAGTTTGGCACGAAAAGATAGATTTCTACAAAAGTTCGGTAAAGTTTTATGAAAAATGAAATAATATTTGTTGATATATACTTTAAATTTCCCAGCAATGTGTCTGACATCTTTCATCTTTCTGGATGAAATGGATGAAGATATGTTCAANAGCAATATTATTAATTTTTAAATATATATGGTTCCTGACTTTAACCGTTAAAACGCCCTTAAAATTAATAATAATTAATTCCATTAGATTTCGTGGTCCGATTGACCAAATAACTTCTTTCAATTAATTAATCTTTATGTAAGGTATTGGTTGAGATAAAAAAGCCAGTGTCACGAGCGGGATTCGAACCCACGATCTTCGGCTTTTTTTATCTCAACCAATACCTTACATAAAAGCTAATTAATAATAATAATATGAACTTATATTATTGTTCCAGTTTTGCCACAAAACTTTTAGAAACGTCCATCAGCAGTCAAGTAAAATATCTCTCAAGGGGACTCACTCAAAGAAGGGAAAGAATTTCTCCAGAAACAATAGAAACTTAATATAAAATTTTTATGCTTACATCATTCAACCAGCTTTCAAAATAATCCTTCAGATGAAGATTCCTGGCTATTTCGATGAAAATGAAATCCTCGAGTGCTTTAAAATTGCAAAACCATTGTGATATAAGCTAAGCTCTTTGAAAATGAAAGTTCAGATTGTTGATGGCGAAAAACGCATTTATGTCGGTTTTCATAATACAGTTGAAAGCGTTTTCCATTGTTTTCACTTGGGTGAGCGTAACTTCTTCCGTAGATTTATGCCAGTTGCTTTTAGATTGGAATGGTGTCGCAAGACTGAAATGGTGTCTCCTTATCAAACCACGGTTTCTTCGGTCAAATGCTATGAATAAAACGCAGGTGCTTTTTTTCTCTCAATCAGTCAAAATTATCAGGAAGGAAAAAATCGTTTAAAAGCTCTCCATATCTACTCTAATAATTAACTAATTGCAGTTGTTACATTGCTTCGGCCTCGAAAGGATTGAAGAGACCGGTGCGCAGTACGTGCAACCTTGTCCCCACCAGTGCGTGTCACCAAGCGTCGCATGTTTTGAAAAATATTTTCCACCGGTAGTTCGAACAAAAATGCGTATGATCGAAATGACAGCCTAATTATAAATAACACGATGGTCAAAGCTTCAAACATTGATCAAATGCGACAACAGTAACTAAGATTAATTATTAACTAAGGTAATTAAAATTGCTTTTGCGCCACAGAAGAACAATGTTTCTATTCAAAAACACCACCACAAAAAGGCTAGTAGTAAAAATAATGAAATTATGAAGTGAAAGATACTGAAATGACAAACTAAAAATTGTGTGCCTTCTATAATGTAGAGATGAAAGTAGCAAGGAAGAAAATATAATATAGTAAATGTAACATAATAATTATACGAAGATCATTGGGAGCAGTGGGACTAAACAACACCAGATATGAAATTTTGACCTACTCTCTAAGGAAATCAACACACAATTAAAACCAAATTCAAATTCAAAATTAATTTAGCCTTAAAATACAAAGTAGGAGGGAGAGAGAGGGAGAGAGAGAGAGAGACAGAGAGAGAGAGAGAGTGAGTGAGAGGGCATGTTACACAGAAAGGTAAATAGTTGGAGAAAGGCAGCAAGAGTGGAAACAAAGAAAAAATGTTAAGTTCATCATAAATAATATAGTTAATAGAGATGAAAAAAATAAAAAACCTCTTGAAGTAAACAAGACGAATAAAAAAAGAAAGAAAAAGGGAAAGACGGAATGAGACAGAAGGATAGATAGAAGAAAGAGCGAGAATGACAGAAAGAAGAAGTGAAAGATAAAGAAAACGAAGAAAAAAAAACAAATGGCAGACTAAACTATGTGTCCTTTCCATAATATAAAGATGTACGTAGCAGGGAATAAAGTATAAAATCATAAATGTAACATAATAATTATATGGATTATTGAGAGACGTGGGACTAACCAACATCAGAAATAAAGAAGAGTACGTAGTACCAAAGAGAGAGTGAGAAAGAGAATGACGGAAAGACGTCAGAGAGAGAAGGAAAGATAAAGAATGAGAAAGAAAGAAGGAGAGAGAGTGAGAGAGAGAAAGAGAGAGAGAGAGAGAGAGAGAAAGAGAGAGAGAGGAGAAAGAGAGAGAGGGGGGAAGAGAAAAAAAGAGAGAGAGAGAGAGAGAGAGAGAGAGAGAGAGAGAGAGAGAGAGAGAGAGAGAGAGAGAGAGAGAGAGAGAGAGGCTATGAAATATGGTGAGAGGTGTGAGAGAGTGAGAAAGAGAATGACAGAAAGACGAAAGAGAGAGAAGGAAAAGGAAAAAATGAGATAGAAAGAAAACAAGGAAAGAAAGAGAGAGAGAGTTTATGAAATATGGTGAGAGGTGTAAGAGAGTGAGAAAGAGAATGACGGAAAGACGAGAGAGAAGGAAAAATAAAGAATGAGAAAGAAAGAGAAAGAGAGAGAGAGAGAGAGAGAGAGAGATAGAGAGAGAGAGAGAAAGAGAGAGAGAGGAGAAAGAGAGAGAGGGGGGAAGAGAAAAAAAGAGAGAGAAAGAAAGAGAGAGGGAGAAAGAGAGAGAGAAAGAGAGAGAGAGAGTGGGGGAAGAGAAAAAAGAGAGAGAGAGAAAGAGAGAGAGAAAGAGAGAGAGAGAGAAAGAGGTTATGAAATATTAATTCACTACTTTCGTGGTCCGCTTGACCAATTAATACATGAAAATTAATTAAGGTTTTTAGTTGAACATTTAGACATTTGAAAAATGGCAAAAGGAGGGAAAACTCATAAGGTGGGGTTGAGATTGGGAGTTGATGTCCGAGTGGATCGAGGTCACGATAGCTTAGGTGGTAGAGCAGCGGCGTATCTAGCCGAAGGTCGTGGGTTCGAATCCCTCTCGTGCCATTAGCTTTTTTTCATCTCAACTAAAAACATTAATTAATTTTCATGTTTTGAAATATGGTGAGAGGTTGAGAGAGTGAGAAAGAGAGAGAAGTAAAAAAGAAAAAATGAAATAGAAAGAAAGAAATAAGTAAAGAGCGATAGAGAGGGGGGAGAGTGACAAAGGCTAACTTTTCTTCACTCCACTTAATTATAAAGAAAATGTTATGCAATTCTGACCAGAAAATTTATATCCCTTTTAATTCCTGTCATTTAAGTAACCCTTTAGATTTGTATTATGGAAGGATGTTTAATCTCAGTTTAATTTTTAGTTTTTAGAGCTGTACAAATAGTCAACAATAACAATTTAATTACTTTTTGGAAGAGTTCAAAAGCGAAAAATGCAACAACCCTTGTAAAAAGCCTATTCCATATTCTCGTCTCGCCCATTCAGCGAAACGATCCAGGAAGCCGTGTAGAAATTGGTCCTGCAATAATTGGACATTCCTTCGGGTTGGTATTCGTTTAGTCCAAATCCAGGACGACCAGAGGTTTTTGCCCCTCAAATCCTGCAATCCTCCCGAGCGGAAGGGAAACAGATTAAGGCTTAAACGTTGAGAGCTTGTGACACGGGCGATATTTATATAACATATTACATTTTTAAATAAAATAATATAACGGTTGGTTAAAATAAATATGAATAAGTACGATTTGAACACAATTTCGATACCAGCTTGAAACACTATCAATTACAGTTGGTACACTCGTACACAAATATTGAGGAAATGGTAGAATAAATATTACCTTGGTACCTGGTTGAGAAAAAAAGTCAGTGTCACGAGCGGGATTCGAACCCACGACCTCCGACTAAATACGCCGCTGCTCTACCACTTAAGCTATCGTGACTTCGATCCACTCGGACACCAACTTTCCATCTCAACCTAACAAATTCGAAAGGTGGGGTTTTCTGGTGTGTGGTAGAGCAACGGCGTATTTAGCCGAAGGTCGTTGGTTCGAATCCCGCTCACGACACCGACTTTTTTGTCTCAACCAATACCTTACATAAAGATTAATTGATTGAAAGATTTTATTTAAACAATTTTATACTTATCATGAAATTGGAATTTAAATATGATATCCGATTAAAATTTTGGAATAAAAAGATTATGAGATTAAAGGATTTGATTGAATACTTGCGTGGGTTTTTATCAGTAATTCCATTTGTAAAATAACAAATATTTTATATTGCTCACTTCTCTTTATCACTTGCCTGAAATACATCTCAAAATTATTTTCGTTCCAAATTTAAACAAATAATTGTATTTATTTTTTATAATTTTCTTAAAATTGTATGTACTTACTTCTAGTATACTTCCTATTAGTTAAGGTTTTTAGTTGAGATAAAAAAAGTCAGCGTAAGGAGCGGGATTCGAACACACGATCTTCGGCTAGATACGCCGCTACTCTACTACTTGAGATATGGTGAGCTCGATCCACTTGCCGAGATCCTGACACTCACTTTTTTATCTCAACTAAAAACCTTAATTAATTGAAAGATATTAATTGTTCAAGCGGACCACGAAAACTAGGGCATTTCTAGTATACTTTGAAACCATCCTCAGAAGTACAAGTAGTCTGCTAATTCTCGGCCGAATTTATGAAATATTTAAAAATTATTATTTATAGCAAGTTTTAACTTCTATATTTAATTTTATAGCAGGATACACGTGTTGATGGAAACATATTGTCATTGAACTAGAAGTGGTTTTGGATTTGTGGAGTGCTTTTGGTTTTAAGTTCGTGCTTAGACTCTCGGCGGTTCTCCTCGAGTTTGAGAGACAAAGGAATTCAAATAGAATCCGGATTCCCTTTGAGCTTCTGTAGGTCGTCAAATATTTGCCAAGTCGAAGGCGGAATCCAATAATGAGAAATCTATTATTTTCTACCTCATTACTACTACCGTCTTCGAATTCGCGAAGCTACACGGGGACAAATTTCCCTCATTTATTACAGTATTTATGTGTTTATGAGATTTTTGCAGCCGTCGGGGTATAAAAACCGAGGGTTTTGGGCCCGTTTCCAAGATTTGAGATAAACAATGCGACAAAGCGCACAGTTGGCACTATAAATTTTTTTAAAATTGTTCGATGTAGACTAATTCAACGTACCGACTGGCTTGAATCTGGTAACTCCATCGCCGCATTTTTTTCTGTCATAAAGCAAATACTTGCAAGTCGTCCATGGTCCGAAGTAGCCTCTTTCTGCAGATGGACCAACTGAAAAAGAAGAAAATCGTATTATAACATAAGTTATTTAAAAAAAACCTTGTTGATATAAAAATGTCTTTTTAAAATTTAATTTTTGACTAACTAAACAATCGACAATTACACCACACATTTTGCTAATCCTAACTGAAGAGCTAAGCTTTTCAGTCCGGAGCGTAACACATATCCGAGTGATCGCCAACGTATGAACCAACTCACAAAAAACTTGAGCAAAAACTGGCCTAACTTAGGGCTAAAATGTATAAAAGATACACAACTTTACTCACTAAAACAGACAAATCCTGTGGTACTGTACCCTTGTAAGATCCTGCAACCACACTTCCTCTGTTCATAGTGATAACGCTGGGCCAAATCATTCCGACACGGCTAAATTGTTTTCAGATCATCTTTCAACAATGTTCACTTCACAGGATATACTTGACCAGAATCATTGAACAGATTTGAATGTCCACTTGCAGCTAACTCCTCCTTCTAAAGTGTTTACTCCATCATGCAGGCATACGACGTACTAATAAGCCATCACCTCCTCGAAAAGCTCCAGTGTACGATTTAATTACAACACAAATATAAAAATTTGCCCCACGGATATTTTTTTCATTACTTATACAACACTATATTCAGAACCATACCGACCATCTTCGTTGTCAAAATTTTAGAAAAAATACTCCGACGATTATTGTCCATAATTAAAAATTCTAGTATTACTTCAGATCATCAGTTTAGATTCTGCTCAATTGTCAACTGCTACATTGTGCTATGTCAATATTACCTCTTCCCTTGAACAAAAACAGCATTGTTTTTTGATTTAGTATAGGCCTTCGATCGAGTCTGGCACTCGGGCTTGCTTTGGGAACTGAAGAACTTCTCCCTCTTTCCTACTATCACATAAGATCATATTTGACGAACCGATTTTGCCGAGGCCGTCAGGGAACTGAATTCTCGCACTAGGACGGTATTCCTCAAGGAAGCATACTTGGCCCATTTCTATTTTCAACATACACCGTAGATATTCCTACTCATTTTAACATTTCAATCATGCTTAACGTTACTTAACATACCTATATAACTCTGTACTTAGTAAGTATTACATATTTTCCATTCTAATGGACGTTCACTATAATTAAAATGGTTCATAATCCAAATAAACCTTTCGGTCTTCCTAGTTCCTATCGACCTATTAGTCTCCTTTTTATCTTTGCCAAAATTCTAAAAAAACTAATTCTCCGACGATTATTGCCAATAACTGAGAATTCTATTATTATTCCAGATCATCCTTCATCACATTTCACTGGCCAACTCAACAATTGCATCGTGTTGCTGACAATATAGCATCTTCCCAGGAACTGAAACAGCATTGCTTCGGTGTCTTTTTTGATTTAGAACAGGCCTTCGATCGACTCTGGCGCTCGGGCTTACTTTGGAAACTGAAGAACCTCCTCCCTCATACGCTACGTCATACTGACATCTTATCTGACGGACCGATTTTGCCAAGTCCGTCAGGAAACTGAATTCTCACCTTGTATTAGGGCGGGAGTTCCTCAGGAAAGCACACTTGGCCCATTTCTATTTTCAACATACACCACTGATATTCCTAAACATTTTAACATTTCAACAATGCATTCACTGATGATACAGCGATTCTTACACGTAATTGGAACCCCTCCATAAACATTTAACACTTATAACAACACCTAAATGAATTAAGGAAGGAAAATAAACCTAACGAAAAGCGTACAGACAAATTTCACATTGCGTAAAAGTATCTGTCCTTCAGTGAGTATAAAACTCCATTGCCTTCCACTGACCTTCCGCGTTATCTTGAACTTTTCTCGGATAGACGACTGACTTGGAATCCCAGCACAAGACGGGAAAGACAAGAAATGTACCATGAATTATTCAAAACTTGACTAACGAACAAAATTAGACTCGGACAAAAACCAAATTCTACTTTTTCGTGCTCCTCAGGTTTGTTTAATAATTAAATTTTGGACGTACTAATATTTTGGATTAGTATTGATTTTCCTATTTAATACTTAAACTTTCCTATATTATGTTCGATCTCTGCTTATGGATTTCCTGGAAGTTTTTCGTATCTTTAATGATGTGCGTAATTATTCTCATGGGTAGTACCTAAGCCTACATTGCCCAGGAATGGCTTTCCTAGGCACTACATAGCCTCGTTCTAGCTATTACAGGGCAATTGTGCAGACTATGTTCTGTTGCCTCTGTCTGGTGATCTGTTACTAATCCCATTTTTTTAAAATGAGAAATACTGATGCATGTCCCATAAATGTAGTCTTCCATTGTTTTTTTTGTTTTTTTTTTCGTGCAAAGCCTTTTTGCTGGCTTTATGCCTGGCATACGTTCCCAGTTTTGTGTTCTTTAGTAACCCAAGATTTCTTTGTTAATCCGAAACTTCCTTTTATTTAGTAATTTTTTGTCTCTGTCTAAAATTACCTCATAACCTGAGACCCTCTTTAGGGGAGCTGTTTAGGGTATGTAGGCAGCTCCAGACAAGTTTTGAGTTGATCTCGAAGGCTTGAAGAGCATTTAGAACTGACTGGCTGTCCGATAATATTATTATTGTATCCTTGATATTTTTAATATTTGTTCCTTGCGTACATATTACTAAGGCTAACAATTCGGCTTGAAAGATGGTTGTGGTTGGGCCAAAGTGCTCATTAGTAAAGGCTCTTTACGCCCATACACGACCATTTACCATATGTATCCCATAGAAGAGCTCCAAGCTTGTTTTCTTTCTGCTCTCTTTTCAATAATTATATTGAATAGATTTTCAAAATGTAGTATCTTTTTAAGAAAGGCATAAAAAGTTTTAACCATGTGCTCATACCATTTCCCATCGTATACCAGAGAAAAGCTCCAGGATTTTTACCTTTTTTATTTTACTGTCTGTTCCAAAATTATCTATCATGGTTTTTCTAAGTCTAGTATTTCCTTTCATAATTCAAAGATAGTTTTTTGGGGACCGCGGTAGCCGAGTGGTTAGCATGAGAGACTCTCACGCCGCGGTCGTGGGTTCGATTCCCACCGTCGCCTCTGGCCCTTTTTTCCCCATAAACCCCAATTTGAACAACATATATAAGAAATTCGTCATGGCTAATATGCAAAGATCATAAAGCCAAAAAAATTACTGTATATACGGTATATTCCATCTTCGTGGAATATACCATAGAAAAGCCCCAGGTTCCTCCATTTTTATTTTTTCCAATTGGTTCTCTTTTCAATAATATTATTATGTTGTATGGCCCACACCCGTCTCATTTTCCATCTTCGAGCAATCTATATACTATAGGAAAGCTCCAGGTTTTACCTTTTTTTTAACTTTTTCTTTTTTGTTTTACCTTTTTCAATTAGCTTTTCTTTTCCAATTAGTTCTCTTTTCAATAATTATGTTGAATGGTTTTTCAATGTCTAATATTTTCTGTGTTAAAGCAGACCCGTCTTATTTTCAATTTTCGAGCAATCTGTATATCATAAAAAATCTCCAGCTATATCTTTTTTGTTTTACTTTTCCATTCACCTCTCTTTTCAATAATTATGTGGAATGGTTTTTCAAAGTTAGATATTTTTTTCTAATAAGACAGACATAGTTTTGACTATATCAGGTACTTAAAATATGTCGAAAAATTAGGTATGACCGACATCTGATTCATGCTTTTTTTCCACTAATCGATGAATTCCACAAGGGAGGCAGCCTGAAGATTCCATTGTGGCTGTGGGTATCGTTTTGAAGCATGCTCTTCTTAGGCATTCTTGTTTTATTTTTTGCCACCATATGTAACTTGCATATTTAATCTTCTGTCTGGCAATCGTATCAAAATGCCATTTTAGAACTTGTCCCCCAATAGAAATAACCAAAATTAGTTTTGTAAATTCTAAAAAAAGGCTAAAAGTGACTACGTTTATCCAATATGCGAACATACTGACATCCCACGCTCACAGCCTTGCCCTACTCGTAAATTTCATCACAGAAACTAACAACTCAAAAAACAAATCTTATTGAAATTGAATAATTCGATTTGAAACTCGGAAACGTCGCCGGTGAACAGTGAGCGGTAATTTGAGAATCTTCGAGTCAGCACTTTGTAGATTAAATAGTTATTTGGGCGAATTGTTTCTCAGACTTTCTGCTTACAAATTGTTTTCTTTTTCCAACAGAACGAATATTTTCACGTTCAATTTCACAAACGATGCCGAATACAAAGAGCTCAAAGACTTCAAACTGATTAGAAATCCATCTTAATTAACAGTACTAGGTTGGAAGTTGGAGCAATTAATCCATCAAAACCTTGATTGAAAAATTATCAAAAAACATGATTTTGAAAACTTTTTAAAAATTATTTACTTTGACTAAGTGATATTTTCAATTTGGAATGTTAAAAACAAGTCGTACACTGACAAACAACCAGAAAAAAACCATTTTCCTCCAGACATATTATTTATAGGTTTATTCAATTACATTTATTTGTTTAACGAGACTTTCCGGTTTTCTTGCTCGCTGTATATTTTTTTAAAAAGGATTTCTCGCTCTGTTTCGCTCGTTATTAGCACGAACACGGCCAAGGAGTCGGTGGTCCACACGGTCCGACGAACAACCCGGATATTTAATGTTTTTTCTTAACTCACTTATTAAGTTATGTTCAGAAAAAAGAAAAATTAAAAAGAAAGAGGAGTAAAGGAAAGTCAAAAAGGAAAAATCATTAATTTAAGGATGATCATTAAGAAAAGTCATTATCAAACAATTTCATGGCATAAAGTAAAGTAAAATAAGAGGGCTTAGAGTAAAACTACACATCAACGGGGTCAAACAACTTTAAAATACGTTTTACATATTATTATTAATTAAAATTCCACGGGATTCGAACCCTGAACCGCTAGCGCCGGACACTCTAAACACTCGGGCACCGCCGTCCCCCGTTACGACACGTTAATGTAAAATATGTCATCCTCAGTATATTTATCGCTTGGTA